TCACGCAAAGCGGAAGCCAGGCTCAGGAAAATCAAGGAGGAGAGGCAGACGCGAGAAAAGCAGTTCGAGAAGTTCAAGGAGAAGTTCAAGGCGGACTTTCTGAAACAGAAGAAACAATTCGAAGCGGATATGGACCGCCTGGACAAGGAGGCCGTACAGGTTGCAGAATCCGGCGAGATGGCTGCCATACGCGTTCAGGCCATTGTGAATGGCACAGAACTTCCGGCCATAGAAGCAAGTGCAACGAACGACGATGGCTCCTGGGAGAGGCTGCTCCAAGAAGACGAAGAGGCCCCGGACACGGAGGCTTTCCAGGAAGCACTCATGGCGGTCAGGCTGTTGAGGCAGCAGGGTGTGCTTCATCCGAAGGCTCACTACATGCAGATCGACACAGACCGCGGCCAGGTACCACCACTGGTAAGAGTGAGCCAAGCAGCAGCGCCCTATGTCAATCCGGATGGCGATCGGCACCAACAGGGCGCGGACAAAGCGCCTTATCTCACCTCGCCTTCCACGAGATTAGGCGCGGCACTACCAGGAGGAGAAGCCGTCAATCATACTGTGAACCCAGTGCCTCCAGTGGTGGCACCCGATCTTGGAGCACCTCCAGGCCTTACAGCCAAAGAGACGCGTGTCGAGACCCCTTCGCCGGGTCAACAGCAGCTGACAGCGAAACTGGAGGCAAAACGTCAGAGTACACGGTCTGCCTTGGCACCCTTCGGTCGAGCACTCTCGGAAGGAGTCGAGTCAGGGCATGGCAGCTTGGGGATAGTGGACGACGACCACGAGCCCCTCGAGCGCGAGGTGAGACAGGCGGACGGCCAAAGTCTACAGGACCTGGGCTGACCTATTTCCGACGAGGCAATGCCCTCTCGAGGTCCTTCCGGATCCAGCTGGATTGGCCAGTTGCTTTGCGCTTGGTATGTGCGCTGCACTGTTGCCATGATGGTGGAAGAGGTTTCGGATCTCGAGTTGGCAAAGTCCCCGGTTTCTCACTTGAGCCTTGTACATATGGGGAAGATATGTACAGGCTTTGTCCTTTCGAAGGCTGCCCTGTCCGTTCTGCCAGCTCTGCCACGTTTTGTCTCTCTTATGACGCACAAATTGGATGCACATCCTGCCTTGGATCGCCGGGGGTTCGCTCCTTGTCATGGACCCGGAGTGGTTTTGACCTCCTTTGGTTTTGGAGGTTCATTGCCTCTTGGGCCCCTTTCTCCTCTGCTCGTCTGACATGGCACTGGGATTGTGCTGTTGTCAGGGGGGCCTCGCTTCAGGACAACAGCGCTACAATTCGGTCACCTGCCTTCCCGACCTTTCTTAGTTTCGGTTTAGGCCCAACCCCTTGTAAGGTTCTTGGGGCTAGACAAGGGACTGTCCCCGACCTGGAGCCTAAGAGGCGCATCGGTGGCTCAGGGGCGCCCTCCAGCGTGCGGACAGGTTCTCTTCATAGGCATTGCCATTCCACTGCCTCTTTTGTGCGAGGAGCATGCTACTCCCCGACTTCCCCTCTGGCCGACACGCCGCCATTTGCAATACCTGACGGTTATCCTGCATTCTACCCGTCCTTTATCTGTGGAAGCTCTTCATTGTTCGGGGGCCCACATTTTCTTTCCGGCTCTCCTACCATTCCAGTGCCAAAGAGACGTATCGGTGGCTCAGGGACGTCCACTGGATTGGTTGAGATTGAGCAGCAAGCAATCCCGTTCTGGCTGATTTGGCTTGTGCATCAGTCCATAGCCATCCTTCTGTGTATCTGCGGATCAGTGCTGAGTGTTTGCCTGTCCGTCTCAGCCCGAGGTTTTTGCTTCCACCAGTCTCCGCTTGGCAGGTGGGTGATTGCTTGTTTGCCCGTGAGGGGTGGACACCTTTTGATTCCCCTTGCCTCCGTCGGTGGCATTTCTCGGCCTATTCTAGATTGGAGGCCCCGCAGAGCTACACGAGGAGCTCCGCCTCCGCAAGGCCCTTTACTGTGGTCAAGAGCTTTATTTGCTTTTGTTGCCCTTCTTAGTCTTCCGGACTGCGTTGGTGCTGTGCGAGATCCTGACATCATCGGGCCACAGATCACAGACCTTGCAGTCGAATTCCTTCCTGTCCCCGCAGAGGAAGACATTCGAGATGACACACGTCCCGATCGGATGGACGAAACTGA